CACCCAGCAAAGCGTGTGCCCATCCAAGCCAGTAAACAGTAATATTTAAGCAGGTAGTCTCTTCTGTTAATGTACTGCAGCTGGTTTTATATATTATATCAAAAGTTCTGCAATGGAAATTCAGAAAACTCACCTCTCCTGCTCCAAGGAACAGCACTTTCTGCTCCGCGAGTGGTTTCCCGGTGGCTTTCTGTGCTGCCAGGAGTCCCGCCAAGGCCACTGATGCTGTCCCTGTAAAAGCAGCACAAATCTCAGGTGAACCAAACACATCTACGTGGCAAATTACAGGTTTAGGGAAAGTTTCTGCACGTACATTAAGGAATATAACCAGAGGGTATACCTTGAATATCATCATTGAAGGTGCAGTATTTCTCTCTGTATTTCCTTAAAAACCGAAAAGCGTTGTGGTTCCCGAAGTCTTCAAATTGGATAAGCGTGTTCTGGCCATACCTGCAGAATATGGCAAATATTCCTCTCACTAGACACATAAAGAAATATAAAACTTTTTAAAACAAAGCCTGCAGGTAACCGATTACTTTTGGAAAGAGGATGCATAGTTTTGGAAAGCAGTGCCTATTTAACAGGTAACTACAAGCAGCATCTTCCAGGTCACAGAGAAAATCACGACAAAGCCAGAAATACAGCCACATCTCTTGACTTCTCGTCCTATCCTTATTCCAGAAATGACTGTTTCAAGGACAATGTGTTATGGTTTTGGGGTTTTTTAGCCATACTTCCAAGCAGAATATGCAGTGTCATACCTGTCTGTAATAGCTTCCATAAATTCATCGATGAGGTCATCGTAGACCTGCGAGCGATCTCTTTTTTGGTACAGGCCCATATAAAACGGATCTTTTAAGAGTGTCTGAAAAGAAGGAGAAGAAATCAAAGACAGCAGCAGGATGAATCGCTTCCTCAAGATACGCTTTCCAGAGTTCACAGCAACACCTTTCACACCAGAGATACTGCATTTCGACAGCTGTTTTCACTGCCTCCAGCCTCTATCAGCGTTCAGTAATTTCAGCTGGCACTTGAGGTTGGCGATGGCTGCTTTGAAAAGGGAAGAAATCAATACAGCGAACAATAAAAACTGCTTTGATAAATCTGACTCACATTTCCAGCTGCTCAAAGTCAGGGCAACCTGACTGTCTATGTTACGGCGTCACGGCGTTCAAATGGCTTCAAAATGCACCGTTTCACTGACAAATTAACTGGAGTTCTCAATCAACCCTTACATAAAATATTGGGGTTTATCTTAAAGAAAAGTGCTCAAATAAAAATCCTCTCTTACAGGAATACTTCTCATCGGGGTAACTTACGGCAGGAAAAGTACGGTCAAACTCACCGTATTATCAGTTCCAACGTCGATGCACACAGGCAAGCATTTATCCGGATGTATCCCTGCACAGGCTGTATATAAACACAATTTTCCTACCGGAATTCCCATCCCGTACACACCCAGGTCTCCAAGACCCAAAATCCTTTCTCCATCAGTGACGACGACAGCCTGAAAATAAAAGTAAATTCAATTATAGACGATCCACTGCGCAAATCCTTCAAAGCAAAGTGGGAAGGGTCCAAGTTGGTGTGTGGAACCACAGCTTCTGATTTGGGTTTATGATTTCCACTTGTAAATTAAGATATCAACAAGTTTGTATAAATATCGTTCAGCACCAAATCCAAATGGTGGATATGGTATGATATATAGTATGGTATGACATATGGTCTGGTACGATATGATATGGTATGGT